CACAGGTTGTGGAGGCGAATCCGGAGCTTTTACTCGGGAAGAAACAAGAGGAAAATGTGTCGCTGGAGGGGTTGATTGAGGGCCTGTTGATCGGACCCTCTTCGTCTGCCGCCGTCCCGGAGGATATTCTTCAGAGAATGCGGATCGTCAATAAGGGCATGAAGGAGTTTTACTATCGCGATACCAAGCGCGGGCTTGATGCGGGGGTCTCGTTTAAGCCGCTTTCTTATCGGGAGCGTATGCGCACGACCGAGAGTAGGGATGATGGTAGTAGGTGGCACTGCGGAATATCTCGGGGCTTACCCATCTTACTGACAAAACCTATGGGATCACAGAGAGCCCAATCTTCGCCATTCACGAAACCCACGCCTTTGAGGTCGCTGGCCGCAAAACGATGCTTCCACCGATCAACTCGCGCGAGATGAAGTGGCTGGTGGCCTTCATTCAGGTCGTGGAGTGGATGGAGGGCGCATTTCCCGAGATCGCGGCGCAGGTGCGGTATACATATCGGAAAGGGGAAGAGATTGGGGGAAGGGCCGCACAGGCTTATGACTGAGCAGTGAGTGAGGCTCAAGTTTGTGGAAGAGTACCTAACTTTGGTGCATATGCCCAACATCACAGTTACTACGGCTCAAGCCATGCACGCTTTTAGGATGTGGACAATCAGGCCATCCGCGCGAACAGTAAACACCACTTCCTAGTGGCGGGTCAAAGCACTCCAAAGTTCAAATATGCACAATGTGTCGTCGTCGTGTCCTAATGAGGGACACTTATGTAGGACGACGTAGCGATTACTCAGAAGCCTGATCACCATGAACCGCACATCAAAGACTGTGACTCCTCTTTCTCTGAGAGCCAATAATTAGACAGACCACTTACTCCTTCATCCATACTATCTTTCTCATTAAGCAGAGTAATTTTTGGAAAACGCCCATCGTTTTGTCCCTGGGCTCGCAGTTGCAGAACACCACCTTGATCAACCATGAAAGCTCTCGTCTACACACAGGTCGGCAAAGTGGAACTGCAAGACCGTTCCCATTCCCAAGATCACCAACCCAACCGACGCCGTGGTTCGTGTTACCAAAACCACTCTCTGCGGCACCGACCTGCACATCCGCAAGGGCGACGTGGCAAGCTGCACACCCGGCCACATTCTGGGGCACGAGGGCGTCGGTGTCGTCCACGAGGTCGGCACCTCGGTGTCGCGCTTCAAGAAGGGCGATGCCGTGCTGATATCATGTATCTCATCGTGCGCGACGTGCGAGTACTGCCGCCGGGGCGTGCCATCGCAGTGCACAACCGGCGGCTGGATCCTGGGCAACGAGATCGACGGCACGCAGGCCGAGTACGTGCGCATCCCGCACGCGGACTGCAGTCTGTATGCTCTCCCTCAAGGGGTGGATGAGGCTTCGCTTATTATGCTGAGCGATATTTTTCCCACCGGGTTGGAGTGTGGTGTGCTCAACGGGCGAGTACAGCCGGGGTCGACGGTTGCTATCATTGGCGCCGGGCCAGTCGGGCTGGCTGCGCTGGTCACTGCGCAGTTTTACTCGCCCGCGAAGATCATCGTCCTTGATGCGGATATTAACAGGCTGATGGTAGCCAGCCAGATGGGCGCGCATGATATTGTAATGAGTGGTACCCATGGGTCGACGGAGGGTACTGTAATCAGGGACGTCTTGGGTCTGACGGATGGAAAGGGGTGCGATACCGTCATCGAGGCGGTCGGTATTCCGGCCACGTTCAAACTAGCCCAGAGACTGCTGGCTCCGGTTGGTGTACTCGCCAACGTCGGCGTTCACGGAAGCAAGGTCGATCTCTTTCTCGATGAGCTCTGGTCGAAGAATATCAGTCAGTCTGCCTAGCCTGAGCGGTTCGTAGGCGGGCTATGCTAACGGGAATAATCACAGCCATCACCACCCGGTTGGTCGACGCCGTGACGACACCCATGTTGTTGAAGATGGTCGAGGCAGATAAGTTACGACCGAAACAGCTGATCACGCATGGTAAGAGCCTTCGCGTTCATAGTCACGGATGTACAAACATAGCTGACCACCTTCGTTCCGAACTCACAGCATTCAGATTCAACGACATCGAAAAGGCATACCAGGTATTTGGCGCGGCACAGGAACATAAAGCCTTGAAAGTGTTGATTCAGATGTAAAGGAGACGCAAAGAGCGATGAATTGCCCATTATAAGAAGGTGGTTGGGTGTCTCGAGGCATTATGTCCATGGACCGAGTTCATCTGTCTGTAATTACACCATAATCAGAAATGGTAGGTATTTCAGAGATATTCGGGTTGGCGTAGACACGTGTTGACAAACCTCCCTTCCCCCTTTTCTGCGGGTCTGTCCTGATCGGGTTAGCGCGCCTGCTTGCGCCAGCAGTTCTCTCGTTCCGTTTCAGTACAGCACTTGCTCCTTGTCAGTTGGGCGGAGAACGCAGAGACTGCAGCCAACAGGAGTGAGTCACTCAGTGCGAGACTCCAACCTGCAAAGAGCCCGTCCAGCAGCAATCACGACGAAGCGGAGACGTGCGGACAACGTTGATCTAGATTCCAGGACCCGGCACTAGGTGCTTTCTCGTTTTGCAAGTCACGCAGTGACGCACCACGATGGACACCAAAAAGAAGATGCCAGACTCATATTGGGACCAATTCATAGCAACCAGCGCGCCAGCGGAAATTGCCAAGCAAATCCTCAAGGATGCAGCCCGGCTCGACTCGGGCGAGATGCCCAGCCAGCTCGCGATGCACCTGCCCAGGTCATCCTCCAGAGCAGCAGGCCCCATCGCAGCCCAGCTGGCCCCGTCGCCCGACCTGCACCCGGACCTCAACCGCTATCTGTACGACAAGATCCGCGACCGCCTTCGCAAAGCCATCGAGGATGGCGAAAGCTCTCAAGAACTACCCACGCCCGCGGACGGCTATTTCCTCCCCGGCGAACTGGTTGAACCAACCATAACACCGGTCCTCCCGGGTGGCAAACCACCCACTGTCGATTCAAGGATAGGTGTCCATCCCGAGGACCTACCTACAAGCGAACAGGTCCAAGACGCGCTCAAGGTCCTGCGAGTTGTTCAGACCACAGGCAAACTGAGCGAGCAGTCCACGGCGGTCATGGAGCGAGCAATTCAGCTCGTCGAGGCGCACTTCGCCTGCGATGATGATAAAGTCACAACAGTGACGAGCGCCGGAAAAGAGGTCCAAGTAGAACAGCTATCATCAGAAATCGCTGCTCACGGAGGTAATTGGAACGACAAGGTGCAAAAGTATCATGTCTTGCGCCCGCCGCCGCGCCGCCTGCGTGCCTGCTACATCTGCCGCTTCGTCCTCCTGCATCCGCACCCGCTGTACAAGAGCATGTGCCGGCCGTGCGGAGCATTCAACTACGCCGCGTCGGCGCTGTCGCTACCGCACTCGCTCAACCTCAACCCGCCTGACCGAGTAAGAAAAACCGCCCTGGTCACCGGCGCGCGGATCAATCTGGGGTACCGGGTGGCTCTGCGGCTCCTGCGGTGCGGCGGCTTGGTCATCGCCACGACGCGGTATCCGCACGACGCGGCGGTGCGATACTCGCGGGAACACGATTTTGAGGAGTGGCGGGCGCGACTGAAGGTCGTGGGGGCAGATTTTAGGGTTCCGAGCGACGCGTTCGCGGTCGTCCACACCACCAAGGCTGTTTTGCGGGAATGGGGAGCCGAGAAGTTGCATATCCTTGTCAACAATGCCGCGCAGACGCTGACGGACAGCGTCAAGAAGGAACAGCGGATGATTGCGCTTGAGGAGAAGTTGGTGGAGGAAGGGACGAACACAGGGCTGATCGTTAAGCGGTTGGGGATGTATCAGCCGCGAGTTTGGGGTGGTGTTTCGCCTCTCGCTGCGCTGTACGGTGGTGGTTATTCCCGGCTTGAATCAGCTCAGCAGCAACAGCCGTCAGATAATACCCTCATCACTGCCGCGGCAGCAGCAGAAACCGCCGCAGAAATCTTTGTCCCGGACAACGTCAAGGATGATGGTCGCGCCGTCGACCTCGCAGAGCCATACTTCAAGTCCTCGTGGGTCCAAGCGCTCGACGAGATCCCTTATGAGGATGTCGTTTTTGCGCACGTCATCAACGCGTTCGTGCCCTTTATCCTGTGTCGCGAGCTGCTTCCCTTGATGGGCGAGCCAAGGCACGACGACGATCATAGTCAAGCAGGGGCGGAAAAAGAGAGGACGATACTACTCCAGAAAGAAAAGTTGAAGAAGAAACCGCTAGGCCACATCATCAACGTGTCTGCGCGGGAGGGGATCTTTGAGAAATCCCCCGACAGCCCTCACAAGGGAGGAAAACATGTGCACACCAACATGGCCAAGGCGGCGCTCAACATGATCACGCAGACGGAAGCGCCGGCCGCTTGGAGAGGCAGAAGGGTTGCTATGAATACTGTCGATCCCGGGTACCTGTCTGCGGCGCCCGAGATCGATCATCTTTGGGAGGGCGAGAGGCCGCTGAGCTGGGAGGATGGAGCCGGGCGGGTTCTCTGGCCTGTGGCGATTGGAGAAGTTGAAGGAGAGGCGGTTTGGGGGCGGTATCTGAAACATTATGGGGTTGTGAGTTTGGATTCGGATGTTGATAAATGATGGTGTTGTCGTTGCAAGACTATGTTGAGTTCATGTTGATCTAGTTTGATGTGATTGGCTCGGTATATCGGATCACAACTTGGGATATTGGGTAGAGAATGAATTATCTTGCATAAGACTTATCTACCTGATTGTCAGCTGTAATTTGGATTGGTCGCGACTCAGTGAGGATACCAGTTATCATGGACCAGGTCCGAATTTCCATCCTTCATTCGTCTGTACTCCACCCAACTCATCGTGACATGGAAACCCCACGATGCAAAATTCTCCTTCATCTCCACTCCCTCCCCGTATCCGATACCGAAGCCAAACCAGAGCAGAGCAAGGCCAAAACCACTACGGCGAGTGTTCCACACTCGCAACAAAAACATTGATCTTCCGTAGTATAGTGGTCAGTATATGAGCTTGTCATCATCAATTTCTCCGCCCACCCAGTTTGGCCCGATCGACGACATCCGCTCGGGACCCGGGTTCAATTCCCGGCGGGAGAGTGTAATGGGCTTCGCCTGGCTTGGCTTTTCTTTTTGCACTTCGTTTTTTCATGGTTGAGTTTGGCCATTATTTTGGAGTGATGTCGGTCTGAGGTGTCTGTGGCTATGGAGTTCCGTATCGTCTTGTCGTATCTTTCTGTATCTTGACCCCCGATTCAGGTTGTTTCTAGGTGAGTGATGATAGTATTATTGGAGCAATGACGAGAGGTCAGTCAGGCAACGCGTGAAAAAGTTAAACTTCGATTATATTGTCATGGTGATCAGCAACGTGTATTTCTATTTGATTCTCAACTTCCAATCTTGAATCAAGATCGACTGCTCGCTAGCTATTACCAAATGCAGCGAATTTCCCTAAGGAACCGGTGTCCGACTATCCTTCCTAATTCATATCTTCCTCCTCGTCAATCCAGCTCAAAGCAAATGCTATCCGATAGATTCGAACCGAGTTCGATTTAGATTCGACCCCTTCCCCAGTTTTATGACCATAATAAGATTTTGTAATGCATCGCATCATTAGTCTCGACCCCCCCCCCCCCCCCCCCCCCCGCGAAAAAAAAAAAAAAAAAAAAAAAAAAAAAAAAACCAGAAATGTCACGATCCTGTATATATCTTGGCTTCCCGTCTTAAAAGAGGAAATCGCGATGCTCGACGCGTTCTATGAGGTAGTCCACCGGTCTCCGTGCGTTATGTTTGCCACTGAGTGTGACGGCTTCCTGCATCGTCTGGGAAATGTCGTCCATCTTGATGTCCTGGAGGTCGAACATGCCTTGGTCGATGGTATCCTTGGCATTGATCTTGACAAAATGCGTCTCCTTCGTCTGTCCGATCCGATGGACGCGGCCAAACGCCTGATCCTCAACAGCGCGGTTCCACCACTGATCAACGCTGATAACCCTGTTCGCGCAGGTCAGGTTCAGCGACTGGCCTCCGCATTTGATGGATGTAATCTGGGAAGTTAATATGTCAGCAATCTGCCCCGGAGTTTTCTGATTCAGCCTCATCCGTTGAAGTGCCTTCTTTTAGGGCCGAAAGCCTTACCAGAACTTTGATTTCCGGCTTTTCCTGAAATTTCAGTAACGAGTCGACCTTTTGGTCCGTCGTCTGGTCGCCAAAGTAATAGAGAAACTGAATCTTCTCCTGGCAGAGAATTCGGCCCAAAATGCATGCCAGCTTGGCAAACTGGACAAAGACTAGGGTATTGCCATTGTTAGCACGTAATAGTGGTAGAATATCTGAGATCGAGTCGTGCACTGACCGATAATCTTGTCGTCTGGAGCTTCAGCCTGCCACTTGAGAATCTGGTACTTGATCGCTACCGTCTTGACTCCGGGGGTCATCTGCTTCGTCTTGTGGTGCTTATCGTAGTCCTCCAGCCACGTAGCTCTGTCTCTGATGGCGGGTTGCCAGACCAGGTAATCGTCTCCATGCTTTCTCACCTTACGACTTCGACGTTGACTCTTCTGAGGAGGCTTCGACGCTTTCAGCTTTCTTCCCCTTTTGCTCTTTGATGGACCACCAATGTCCTCGGCAACGTCGTCATTGTGGTCTGCATCCACAGGCAACGGATTCGCGTTGGTAAGATCCTGGTTGCAGTCCGGGCAAACATCTGGGTGCTGGGCCCATTTCGTCTCCAGGCAGTCTCTGCAGAACACATGGCCACACTAGATGCAGGACATGTCAGTATTATTTTCTTAGGTGATTGGCTTTGTTGCTCGAGCTTGTACTTACCTCCGTAGTCAAGGGAGGATCAGGAAGCTCCTGGCATACGAGACAGATGACTTGCGGGACTTCCTGGCCGCTTTCCAATGCACTCAGCTGTGCATTCATGTTGAAGTCGAGGAGGCCGTAGGAGCCATGTCCAAACTTTTGGTTACCCTCCTGGGCACTCCGTTCTCGATCTTCCATCTCCGTCCACTCCTCGAACTGTGTACACAAAGGAGTTCTTCTCCGAGTCGTAGCCAGTTCCTTTTTCAGCCACTGAAAATCTTCCGCTGTGAAGGACCTTGCCATGGTACCTTCAAGAAGATAGGGGTGTCCTATGGCTTGCCGCAGACGGAGCAAGCCGAGAAGAATGATTGCTCTGATCATGCCTCTGCCTCCTCCCTCTCTCTTGAGTTCAGCCAGCTTTTGCTGGAAGCGATATATAAGCCGACTATTTGTTTACGTCAGTGCCGTTCGACGTCCTTTCTCAGGGTGGAGATTACACGTACTCATAAATCAAGCGTTCCTCGGGCGATAAATCAACCCACACCTGAACAATGTTATTGGGAAGAGGAATCTCGAGGATAGGATGGCCGAGAAACTCTTCATCCACTCTTCTGCGAGAGAATGTTAGACTCCACGTGTATTCAATCAGAGCATGGTTGGTTTCCTCACCGTCTCAGCATGATATTTTGAAGGACTTGGCTTGTGGCTCCGTCTTCCTATGTGCAGTGATCATTGTAGTCAGTAACGGACCAATACGTTACATCAACTGGAGGCAAGAAAACTTACACTAATGGCCTTCTTGAAATCTCCCAGAGTCTCTATCTTTGGGTACTTGAGAAATCGCAGGTACGGGTAAAGCTCTATGACGAAATTAGTGTCGAGCTTTTGTGTATGGCGTCTGACAGGCTCTAACAAACCTTCCGTGCAGTTATGGAGTGGCGTCCCTGACAGGATCCATCGGTATCTGGCCTTCAAGAGACAACAAGCGATCGACGCTATCACTCAATATTAGCCTTGAATCCGAGTAACGAAGCAGGGACAACTGGCACGAACTAGAAGACTCGGGGTTCTTTATTGCATGTCCTTCATCAAGGACAACGCGATAGTAGTTGATATTCAGCAGCTTGCCAGAGGCGCTTCTGAGCTCATCATCCAACTCTTCACCCTTCAAGCCGGACGCAAGGATTTCTCTGAATTCCGTCTTACGCGGAAGAGCTGCTGCCACTTCATTGTAGCTCGCAAACCTGTCGCAAATAGTTTGGTTAGCAAAATCTCTTCAAGTCGGACAGGACGTAGATGAATTACATGATTATGGCGTTTTGCCAGTAGTCCTCGTCGTCGTCTCTGCTAGCCTTATACTGGTAAATCCAATTCGACTTGATAAAGTCGCAGTGTCTCTTGACTTCGGATTTCCACTGAGGTATCACCGCCGCCGGCGCCACGACTAAAGTGACACCGCGGAGATTTTCGACGTCATTTTGGGTTGGGCGATTGGCACACATGGTGGCGATGGTCTGGACAGTTTTGCCCAGGCCCATCTGGTCGGCAAGAATGCCCCCAAATGGAGCATCTCCAGAGAGTTCCTTGCCCAGCATCCAGCTCACGCCCATAACTTGGTAGTTGAACAGATCTGATTTGAGGCCTTTGTGGCGCCATCGGTACTCGTCTCGCTCAACGCCCGGCAAAGAAACTTTATATAGCATGGGTTTCAACTTTTGGCACCCAAATGACTTCAAAGCTTCAATCAGGTCAGCTTTGTCTCCCTTTTTGGCGCGTGGTCCCTTCATGGCCCGAATGGCGGCGTCGCGCTGTGTCGCAAAGGCAGCCTTGGGTTGCTTGGGCCGAGCAACCTTGCTCGTCGCTGCTCGTGCCGTGACAGGGTCAATCTCCTGGAGCAAATCCCTGTGGTTGATACCCGCACGTTGCTTTCTCTTCTTTATATTAACATTCTGGAAGTATTCCTTGGCATTATGAGCCACTTGACGTTTGGGCTTCCCTTCACTCCCAGAGCGCTCCTCCAGCTTGGCTAGGTTCTCTGTGATTCCCTTAAGTTTAATTCCGTCGAGCATGTCCAGTCGACCTTTGGCTTGGAGAATAGTTAACCGCTCCTTCTCCTTCCGTAGCAGGGACATGGTCTCATCAGCCGGCTTTCGGAACTGATGATCTTCCTTGCTCCCCTTCTTGCTGCCCGTTCGGCGGCGTTTCGCAGGGTAATCAGTGTTCTCCCCGTCCGACAAGCCACCAAAATCACCTGGTTGATATTCATCATCGGACTCTTCGTCCTCCCCCTCTTCGTCCGAAGACGGTGAAGATTCGAAGTCAGATGCGGACTCAGAATCCGTATTCTCGCCCAAGGTCTCTTTCTTGACGTGGCGCTTAGGGCGGATATGCTCGTCCGTACGAATACCGGCTGAAGGAGAAGTCGGCTTCTTCTTGATGTCCTCGGTGTGATTAGTAGCCTCTTGTTCCAGTTCCACGTCACCTGGCTGCTCACAGATTGGATCCGAGCTGTCCTGACACTTTGCCTTTGTGTTTTCGGGAGTTTTTGCACTATCGGACTGGATCAATTCGCCAGCCAAGTCATTGGTTGACTTCTGGGGCTCAACCGCGTCGTGAGGCTTGCTGGTTGTATCATCCAGCCTCAGTGAGCTCGGGTTGTTTGTGTCCTGCAGCTGAGTAGGCTCCGTTGCGACGTGAATCCGTGTGCTTTGCTTCAGTGGTTCGACCATAGGGTTGTGGTCAACCATCTCCACATCGACCACGTCAGGAGCCTTGGTGACTCCATTACCGGAACACACTAAGTTCACTTTGCTCGTGTCCCAAGACTGGGAAGGCTGTGTTGCAGCTTCAACCAGTGTGGTTTCCTGTTTATCCGTGTCGGCCGAGGACGGTTGGAGAGGTGCGTCAGGCCTGCCAAGGTCCTCTGGTTCCGGGCCTGGAGTGGGAAGGGCCAAAGCAGGTGTGGGTGGGCTTGGCGTCTTCGCCCGGGAGTCGTCCGGATTATCCATCCTGAGGCATGAGTCTGTTTGAGGCCGGTCCGTTAGCAATCTGTCGGCTGCGGCGGAAGTCTGGCTGTATTCATCCAGCTTGGGAACAATGAGGCGAACCGTCTCTGGAGGAAGGATCGAAGACAAGTCTTGGAGACAAGTCTTGGAGACAAGTCTTGGAGACAAGTCTTGGAGATTAAAGGCAGGATGGGGAAGCGACAAGGAACGAGAAACGCAAACTCACTAGGCGCGGAGTTGAAATCGGCGGATGTAATGCCGCAGCATGAATATGAACACCTGAGCTGA